CGTACATGAAATAGATCCAAATTTCACAATAATCCGATTTCATAATCAGCCGTGACATATATTATTAAATCTTTAATGTTAATAATAGATGTTTATGATACAGAAGTACCTGAAGTACTACAGAATTCCAACGACGACCAGGTTCCAGAGCAGTTTATGACATTATTGCCAGAGAGTAGCTTTAATTGCACTACTGCTATGGAGCAATTTGGTGTTCAGACAAATTATTTTGAGGAAGAATTTAACTAATGTTAGATGGGTAATTATGATTTATTATCGTTATCTGTTTACTGTATATACAAATATGTGAGATATTAATTGCTAAATTTAATACTTTTTGTATTAATAAACACACACTTACATATAGATAAAAAGTTGATGATAAATTAGAACTCCTGCTGCTCCAGCACAATGTCTTTTTCTAACCATTTCGTTAGTAATGAAATGTATTTTTCTATAGGTTTAATATATAAAAATTTTACATTTTCTTTTATATATATGTAAATACAGTCGACACCTTCTATACTGAACCTCTCAAGTTTTATTAAGAAAATGAAAAAAATGAGGCGTTTAAAAAATGACTCAGTCTAAACCGAGCTTTATAACAAAATTTAAAATTTTAAAGCTCCGTTTAAACAATGATTATTAATTTTTGGCTTTTACAAATTCAGTTTAGGAGGAGTTGACTGTACAATATAATATCTAAATAAATATATTTTTTAGAAATTTTTACAAGACTCGAATGAAGTCAATTCTATAACTTTATATATCATTATCGTTTATTGAACAAGAACGTATAACTCCGATATACTGTAATACTCTTCCATGGAAATGCACTTGGAAATACTACAATGCTATAAATCCTTTTTATCTTAAACTTATATGAATGATTTTTATTATTTACAATGAAATACGAAGTATATAATATGGAATTGACATTCCGTTAATTCTATATATTCTAGGCTTTGTATTATAGTATGACCATTGACTTATTTGATAAATATTGGACAAAATGCCTACGTGTGTACTGTACGTATAAGTATTTAGTGATAGCGATCGGCACACAAGTTACCTAAGTGCTTTGTTACAATAAAAAAATCATTAATTACGCTACTTTGTTTTATTTATATCTAATTCCGTTTGTTACCCCTTTAAATCTTTTTTAGTATCATAGATATTGGTATTTAATAAAAGTCCGAAGTATTATGTATAATACGAATAAAATTATTAGTTTAAGAGTTTGACTATGCCGCAAGTCATTGAATATCCAGAATTATGTAAAAAAGGTACAGTTTTGTGGTTCCAGATATGATCAATAAAATAATGCATTATTCTTTTCTTCCAACTTTATATATCAACGAGATGCAATTTAAAAAACATAAAAAACATAACTATAACTGAAATTTTTATTCGACAATGTACTATTTTGATTGGTTCGGCTCGGCTGTCACACCGAAATTAGGATGTACAATTTTGATCGGTTTGGCTCGGTTGTCATATCGAAATTAGGATGGATATGCAATCAGAACATATCAAAATGTGACTCGGGATAGTCCGGAGCTTGGTCATCATTAAGCAATAACGATGATACCACTCAACTACATTATAGCAAAATTAGCATCAGAGAAACCTTAACTCTTATAAGTGCGGCATGATTAATTTACTTTACTGCTTTAGAGACGGATATGATAAATGCTTGATAACAAATACCATGTTTCCGCCTAAGTAAAATTTAATTTTTACCGCAAATATGAAAGAGGCAAACAGTTAAAATTTATATTAAGATGTTGTAAGTGGGAATGGAATTTAAATTGATTTGGAATTTCCTAGTTAAATTAGGGTTAGGGTTGTACATATGATGAAACGGTAGTTTTATATATAAATTCCGAATCCACTTAAATTCTGTTTCCACTTACAACATATACAGGGTGTTCCAAAAGCTCCTATACACGGTCCCATTTTTATGTGACCTTATACATAGAGATCAATAGAAATCGCGATAATTATTTACGTAAATATGTAAATAATTATAATGATCTCTATGTATTATATAGAGTTCATTATGGTTATTTACATATTTGCATAAATAATAATCGTGATTTTTATATATAAGGTCACATAAAAAAAATAGGGACCGCGTAAAGGAACTTTCTGGGACACCCTGTATATTCATTGAAATTTAAATAAACTATATAATTGCTATATTTAATAAAAATAAAAATTTTCAATAACTTTTAAGACATTTCCATATATACAAATATGACGCAAAACTAAAGCATGCAGAAGAAATTAGTCAAAGTACTATTACAGCAAAAGCAAAATCTTGATCCAGAATTGGTGGGTGATTTTTTTAAAAAAACATGAATTTGCTAGATACATTATTTCAACTTGACAAATAATTAATGTGGCAGCTTATGCCTAGATTACTTATGCTGAGAATTTGACCTATTTTATTATAAAATTATAAAATTTTTTTAAGGTTTTTTTTTGTTTTTTTTCACAGTTAAGTTAGGGTTTAGGGTTAGTATTATTGATAAAAGAGTATATGTAGATTTTATTAGATGTTATAGATTTAAATAGGGAGCCTAAGCATAAGCCGCCACAATTAATATGCTACTTGCTTTCATAACTTATAATCTGTGATAATAACATGTAATTTTAATTATATTTGTTTTGCGTAACTCTTTATTCGAAGTATATTTGCTTGCGTAACTCTTTATCCGAAGTATATTTGGGGGTGTTCACAGCAAAACCAGGCTTCGGGACAATCATGTGATTTTGAGAAAATCAACATCAAAATTAGTATAT